AATCCTAAGGATTCTTACTTGGACTGCTCACTGATCCGGTGTTTTCAGTAGTACGGGCCCTATACTACCTTCCACACCGCATCAGCATTCATTCCAAGTCCTCCTCCTAGGATCCCAGATCACAAGTACTCTACATCTCGCTAAGCATAGGCTACCCTTCGGTAGACTTCTCATAAGCTCCTCACTGCCACCTACTCACTCTCGAAGCATCTCATAGCAGCAGTAATCTCCTAGGCTAAGGTATCACAAATCAGGCCACTCCAGTCCTAATAGGAATACCTAGCCTACTCTAGCATGTATATCATATCATATCTCATAACACATAATGTAAGGGTATTTTGGGAAATCACCGTTCGGGCGCTGGCTGATCGTACACATTGCTTCTTTTCGCTTTCCTCACATTCCTTTACGTTTTAGAAAAATTGTTTCTTTTATGAAAACGTTTTCAAATCCTCAGTTTGAGTTCAAATACACCCGAAGGTGCATCCGAATCCCTCAAACCAAGGCTCTGATACAAAATTGTAACAGCGTGAATTTCCAACACAATTTTTTTTCATTTTTAAAACATAATTTCATTCATAATAATTATCAAAATCCAATGTAACACATGTCCTCCAAATAAAACAATCCCAAGACCTCAAATACATAAAACTCCATCAATGTATACAGATCATGCCGACGCCTTCCAGCGATCCTCGCTGGTACCTGAAACACATATCACATAAATAGTAAGCATAAATGCTTAGTGAGTTCCCCAAATACCACATACGCACATATGCCACTCAAGGCTATAGCTCCACAAGACCTTCCGGTCCATGTGTGTCAGGGGACTTCCGTCCCATAATCCTGATAGACCTTCCGGTCCCACTTCTATGACCTTCCGGTCCGTATCATCTTGACCTTCCGGCCCATACCCCTTTGACCTTCCGGTCCATATCATAATACTCGTAACATAACATAGCACATACATATCATACAACAACATACATCACATACTCATCATAACACATAAGCCTTCCGGTCACACATAATTAGCACTCTAGGTAAAGTATAGTGAGAAGACTCGCCTCACATGATGTCTAGTAAACCTTCTGGCTTGATAACCTCGATCGAGCCACCGCCTAACACATAAGGCAAACATTTCTAATTAATACTTCCTCTTGTCCTCGTCTCTAATGAATGGGTAGAAGACCATTCTACCCTTTCCTGACCTCTCTTGATTCGGCATGACTAACACCCTAAGGCCAACTGAAGTCAACCCAGGTCAATGGTCAAATTTTGACCAGACTCGTCGAGTGCACTCGCGTGACTCGGCGAGTCCATGCATGTCCTCTGAATCCTCATAAATCCTCACTCAACTCGCCGAGTTAACCTTTCACTCGACATGTTACCACTGGACACGAATCGGGGCAACCCGACTCGACTCGTCGAGTCCCCTTATGGACTCTGCGAGTTCCTTCCATGGCAATATTCATATGACCTTCTCAGGTCAGATCTGTTTCTCTAACCTATAGATCTGACTTCCCAATGCTCAATAATCACGAAAAGGTCCAATCTTTACACTCATGCAACACACATAAAGCTTCTTTTGGTGAAATAGCTTCTAAAATGGCAACCCAGGCTCATATCTCCAAAGGAACAACAAAAAGCAGAATGGTTGGGACTCTCTGGACCCCCTTAAGGTCTAGATCTAAGACTTTTTCCACATTGGGACCTCATAAGCATCATATACAATCCAAGAAAGGGTAAAGAAAACCCTAGATTCAAGGATTCTACACAAAATAGAAGGAAGGGGTGAAATACTACCTCAGAATGGAGATCCTTGCTTGGATGTCTCAGAATAACAACCTCCTTTGGTCCTTCTAGCTGAATCCCTTCACTTCCTTTGCAAAATCACACCAAAATTACTTGATTTCATCACAAGAACTCTCACATGGCTCCAATGGCGATTTAGGGTTTCTCACAGGGGATATGAGGTGCATCCAAGGTCATAAGTTCCTTTAAATAGGCTCCAACCCCGGAACTTAGGGTTTTCTCTGCCCAGTACCTACTCGACGAGTCCATACTTGGACTCGTCGAGTCCGCTCATTAAATCCACGTGGTCAACTCGATGTGACTCGGCGAGTCAGACCTACAACTCGTCGAGTCCCCCCTAAATCCTCGAAATTGAAACACCAATTATCATACCCGAAATTTTTGGATGTTACAATAACATACATGCATTGATACAAGATCGGACACAAACATACCAAACTATTTTAAGAAAATACAGAATTTTCTTCTGATTACAAAGCTATACAAATCATTTTCTCAAACATGCTTATGAACTCACCAACATTTTTATGTTGACATTTTTAAATTAACTTGTACTCTCAAGAAACCATTGAAGCAAGTTGGGACGAACAAACTAATGGATGTTTTGTTATATTTCTATTTCATCAGACTTTAATTATTTTGGCATGTATTATTCAAATACAATACTCGATGTAAACAATGAATGTTGTTATATTACATGTGTGATGATGATGATGTTATGTTACAATTATATACCTTGTGATGATACTCCAATGATGAAGTCACGCGTAAGCCCCCGGACGTTTTCCGCCGTCTGGTTCGGGGGTGTGACAAAAATTGTTGTAAATACCAATGAAATCTGATCTACATTTCATAAGATACTCATGTATATCGAGTATAATCATCTATAAAAGATACATAATATGTTAACCCACCCTTTGTGGATACTAGTGCAGGACCCCACACATCATAATGAATAATGTCAAAATGAGCAATAAAACAATACATACTTTTACTAAAAGGTAAAGCAAATTTTTTTTCCAGTTTACAACCACCACAATCAGAAATATCACTAGTGTTCAGATGACCCAAAACACCAATAGATGCAAGAAAACTCAAACGTGATAGAGACACATGTCCCAAACAAGAAGGCCATAGATAAAACTCATACGACAAAGGACTCAAACGAAAAGAAGATAAATCAATGTTGGAGGCAGCAACAGTAGATACTTTGAGTACCTCCAAAACATACAGTTCCCCCACCCTACGGTCGATCACAATCACATTTTGGGTGTGTTGATCCTGTATAACACATACAGACTCTGAAAAGAACACCCAATTACCAGACATACATAACTTACTGACTGAGGCACGATTCAAAGTAAGTTTGAGAAAGTAATAAACATCAGGAAGAATGATATGAGAAATAGAGATATACCCAACACCCTCAACTAGCATAGATGTATCACTAGCAGGCATAACAGAAATAGATGACACATGTGACAAAGAAGTAAATGATGATAAATGAGGAGTCATGTGATGGGTTGCACCAGAATCTAAAATCCATAAAGATGAGGGAATACCTCATGTACCCGATGAAGTAGGACCAGAATGAGACATGGATGCAGACATGGCAGTGGGATTAGAGGCCAAATATTGTCTGAAACTCTCAAAAACCTTGGGATCCAGTGAAGATGGTGGCATGTTTCCAACATACTATGTGTCACCTCGTGGTGTAGCAGCATCAACAAACTGTGGAGGACGAGGTGTCCATGGAGGAGTACCAGAGGAACATGGCTGAAACTTCTGTTGACCAGACCTATTTTGTTGTCAAGACTGAGGCTGACCAGATTTACCCTTGTTGACTAATAATAGACACTGAGCTTTCTAATGATTTTTCTGTTTGCAAAATGCACACTCATCATAAGCAACTCTTGAAGTTTGTCAATACTGATTAGAGGAAACAACAAGCACAACAGGAGTGGAAGTAGGAATGGAGGTTGACCCTTTATATTCAACTCATGAACAGCATAATCCACTGAGGGAAGGGGAGAGGGATGAACAATCGTTCCTCATAGGCCTTCAAAATCAGAACGCAGGGCCATCAAGAACTGTACCAAACGTTATTCTTCCCTCCTAGCAATGTAAAGCTCAAAATCTTTTAACTCTTTAGATTCAGTAAGAGCCAATTGATCCCACAAATCAGACATAGCAGCATAGAAATCTTGAATGCTCTGGTCATTTTGTTGAAGATAACGAATATCATATTCTAATGGGTATTGTTTAGCAAAATTGGAATGAGTATACAGTCTCTCCAAGTGATTCCAAACTTCTTTTATTGTGTCATATATAGCCAACTGCATACCAGTAGACTGAGTAACAAAATTATTAATCCAAGTAATAACCTTGGAGTTATCAGTCTCCCAAGCATCAACCAATAAATCGAAATTCCCAGCTTAAGGCACTGAGGGTTTGGCTTTAGTCCCAGTGACATAGCCCCACATATTCTTCCCACGAAGGAAGTTCTTCAGAACGTAACACCAATACGTATAATTCTTTCCATCCAGACAAGTACTGATTAACTGAAGGGAATCATCCTTTCCAGTCATGTTGACAATGAATAAATAACCACAATAACAGTATAGCAATCTGAGAATGAGAGGAGTAACAAACCAGCGAAAGCAATCAATCGGATAAGAAGAAATCAAACAGCAACAACGGCAACAAGAAATTGAACAGCAACAACGAATCATCAGCAACACCAAACGAATACCATCAAGCAAATGAAATTCACCAACGAAGAAACAACAACAGTTTGAGCTAAACTTCCTTCGAAACTGCTACAGTAACCCTAGAAAAGCTTCTAACAACGTATCAAACCTCTGCTTTGATACCATGATAACATTTCGATATGATTATGATAAAGAGAAATTACAAGGGGTTCACAATAAAAAGCATAAAGTCTAGAAAGACCAAAGCGAATATAAATACTAGCTAGAAAAAACCCTAAAGAGCTAAAGGCTAAAAGGCCCATAAACAAGTGGGCTAATAATATATAGGCTAAAAATAACCAGGTATTCAAACCTAAATTACTATACTTCCACTTATCATCCAAAACTAATTTACTATACTACCCTTTATCTTCATTTGGGTAAAATCGTTTCGGATACAAACACTTAATGGTGGTTGCCATCAGTAGATGTCAATCAATGTTGTATTCCCACTCCAATAGACCCCTCTAACTCATAATCATTCTCCTCAACTACACTTACATCCTCTCCTTTCACCGAAAACATAAATTCTTGATTTCTCAACATGCCACTGCCACCTTTCATCTTACCTGCCACCTCACCATCTTTCTTCTCAGCCACCTCCTGTAACTGCAACACAAACTCTAAGCCCCAAACAAATTTATCCATCTTCGAATGTTTGCTCCCTTTGATTCTCAAAAAACTATTTGCCACCTCACGAAACTTCATCAAACAATTTGGAGCAATGTCATCACTTCTTCTCTTATCAACTATCTCATGCAACATCACATTTCCATAATTTAACCTACCCCATTCATCCAAATTCATCTATTCATCGGTAACCCTCAGTTTATGATCACTAGCCTTGAACACAACACCTCTAACAATACAACCCCAAATGAGTACACATCAAATTTCTCTATAAGTTGTTGAAATTTGTAATATTCAGGATCCATATTAATTCAAAACATGTTTCCCTTCCTTTTCAGTTAAATCCAATTAATTATAAATACAATGAATTTGTATCCCTCTATTCTAGGAAGAGATCACAACCAAATATAAAATACAATATAAAATGCAATATACATAAATCTATTAATAGCCCCCCTCAGTTGGAGCGGGAGGGGGATGAATGCTCAAACTGGATCTAAAATCCAAAAGTAGTAGACGTGGAAGACCTTTTGTGAAGATATCGGCATACTGGTACGCAGAGGGAACATTGAGAGCCCGAGCATGACCGAGAGCTACTTTATCACGGACAAAATGGATGTCCATTTCAATGTGTTTTGTTCGTTGGTGTTGAATGGGATTACCAGAATAGTAAACAGCAGAGATATTATCACAATAATCCAACGTAACAGCCTTAAGTGGTGTGTGAAGTTCGAGTAGTAAGTTGCGCAACCAACAAGCTTCAATAGCAACATTAGCTACACCTCGATACTCGGCTTTGGTACTTGAGCGAGATAAGGTAGACTGGTGTTTCTCGTGCCATGAAATCAAATTATCACCAAAGAAGACGCAATAGTCGAAGGTTGAACGACAAGTGTCGGGGCAACCACCCCAATTGACATCGGTGTAGGCGACAAGTTTAGACGGTTTGGATGAGTACAAGTGTAAACCGAATTGCAAAGTACCCTGTAAATTTTGTATGATCCGTTTCAAAGCATTTAGATGAGGTTCCCGTGGTGCATGCATGAATAAACAAATATGTTTGACTACATAGGATATATCCGGGCGGGTAAAAGTTAAGTATTGAAGGGCCCCTGCCAATCGTCGGTAAGTAGAAGGATCAACAATTGGATCACGCATAAATGCACTTAATTTGGAGTTAGTATCAACAGTTGTAGCGACTAATTTGCAATTCTCTATCTTTACGCGTTTGATAATTTCAGTGGCGTACTTTTCATGAGATAAAAGCATGTTACCCTTTGAGAGGCAATATTATATGTTTTAAGTCTTGAAGAAGACGCTATGATCATAATATCATTGACATAAATGAGGAGGTAAGCATAATCATTGTTGCGTCTATAGATGAAGAAATATGTGTCACTTTTACTACACACAAAACCGATACGCAATAGGTAATGTGCAAAAACGTTGATACCTTGTCTGTGGTGCCTGCTTTAAACCGTAAAGAGATTTGTGTAGCTCACAAACATAACCAGGAAAAATGGATTAGAGAAACCCGGTGGTTGATGCCTGTATACGGTTTCGTGGAGAGTTACATGAAGGAAAGTGTTCTTAACATCAAATTGGTAATGGGCCATTGATCACTTAGATCAAGGATTAAAACAGTTCGTATAGTTGCAGGTTTGACCACAGGACTGAACGTTTCATAAATATCAAAACCTAACACCTACCTCTTGGGATTTTCCATTAACAACGAGTCGTTCCTTGTATCGTTCAAGAGAACCATCTGAGTTAAACTTGTGTCGGAATATCTAATGACAACCAATAACATTAGTACTAGATGGTCTAGGAACCAAATCCCATGTATCCTGTTTAAGTGAGGCATTAAATTCAGTTTGCATGGCACATTTCCAATTTTTATCAAGAAGAGCGGACTTAGGAGTAGAAGGAATTGGAGAAATATGACTAGTGTAAAGGGAATATTTTGGGTTTCATTTTTGTATGCCACTCTTGGAACGAGTGGTCATTGGATGTTGGGCCAAAGGTGGGGGAACCGGTGGGTTGTCAGAATCTGAATTAGATAAGGAACGATTGTTATGGGTAGAGGAGGGTGGAGAGTTTGGAGGCTGGAGCGTGGATTGAAAAAGGGGTTATCGGTGTTCGGATAAGCGGTATGAGTATTGTGGGGAAAGGAATTATGTTGGAGATGATTAGACAAATACGAGGAGGATGGTACATCATCGAGAAAATCATAAGATGATGAAGGATAGGAAGAGCGATTTTGGTAGGGAAAGGTGTGTTCGTCATAGGTAACATGGCGTGAAATGATGGGTTTGTCATCGTATATAGTGTGCCAAAGGTACTCACGATGGTTAGGGCTACCCAAGGATAATGAAAGGAATGAATCGACAGCGAGTTTATTTAGTGTAGTGACAGAAAATATTATAGTAGCAAAGGCATCCGAAACTGCGTAGGTGGAAATAGGTTGGTTTTCTTAGGTATAGAACCTCTATGGGTGTTTATTGTTAATGGTGGTATTGGGTAAGATGTTGAGTATGTATGTGGCGAAAGATAGAGCATGGTTCCAAAAATAAGGAGGCAACGATGCATGAAGGAGATTGATCCTTACCATGTTGGTGATACTGCGTATAATACGTTCAGCTTTTCCTGTTTTGAAGAGATGTGTATGGGTAAGTGAAACGGAATTGAGTATCGGTTTTATTGAAGAGCTGGTTAAACATAGAGTTGTTAAATTCTCTACCACTAAATGGTTTTAAGAAATTGTGTTTGAATGTTGGTTTGAAATTGGTTATACACATCAAATACTTGTGATTTTGTGTGTAAAGGAAAAGTCCACAGATAATGAGAAAAGTCGTCAAGTAACACAATATAGTATTTGTTACCAAGTTTAGATTCAATAGGAGAGATCCATAAATCAGCATGTATTATATCAAAAGGAGCAAAAGTAAGAGTACGGTATAAAGAAAATGTAAATGACAATGTTTTCCTAAAGAACATGCATTACGCTTGTAAGTAGGCTTGGAATTAAAATTGGAAAAACTAGACTTAAGTAGTTTAAAAAAACAGAAGTTCCCGGGTGACCAAAATGACTATGCCAAGTTGAGGGTGAAGCGGCATGAAGAGCAACAAATTGAGGTGCGAATGTGGGTGAAGTGAACGAATAAAGATCACCGGTATTGTTGTGCCTCATGAGGACCTTCTTCGTTATAAAAGCCTTCACAAAAAAAACTCAATGGATCAAATTCAACAGAGAGGAGATTATCAGTTGTAAATTTGCAAACATAAACCAAGTTTTTAATGATTTTAGGGACATGAAAACATTGTGTAGGTGATAAGAATGATTGGGAAAAGAGAGGGTCGCGAAACCCCGACCACAAGATGGAATATTTGTGCCATTACCAACTTGAATGGAATGCTGATTACTTAAATGAGATATGTGATAAAGGTTATCTAGGTTGTTGGTGAGATGAGAGGTAAAGCATGTGTCCATGTACCAGGAGCTGTCAGGAGGACGTAAATGCATGATGTTGAAGGTAGCATCAGGTTGGGTCGGTGGCATAGGCATTGCATAATCGTTGGAGTAGTGAGATTGAGACCCATTTTATTGTTGTTGGTTTGAAATTCGTGGAAAAGGTCCAAGGAGACTCGCTTGAGAAATTAGAGTAGCTATTGGATAGGGGCAGGGAGGAACAAACCATGGTGCCATTTGATACCATGGGAATGGCCAGGAACAATTATCGGTTCCAGAATTAGAGAAATGTCCACGGCCCCTACCTCGTCCTCATTGAGTACCTTGACCCTGATGATTTCCGCGGTAGTTACCCCGACCTCATGAAGTATTGCCGGTATTATTGTTATCCGACGACGGAGAGATGTTGTCGGAGGAAGAGTCAGTCATCTTCAGATTGATCATGGCTTGCAGTGTAGGGGTGGCGTGCTTGCTGCGTCGTTTTTCTTCTAGGAGATGTTGGGAACATGCTTTATTGAAACTTAGAAGTGGTTCGGTTTGTTGTATCAAAGTTGCAACAGTATCATAAGCACCCAGTGTGAGACGAGAAATCATTTAAAGGACCATTTTAGTTTCTGAATTAGGATTACCTATGTTGGCAAGTTGATCAGACAAGTTATTGAGACGAGAGCAATAGTTGTGAACATTGGAGAAGGATTCAAGTAGAGTAGAATTAAACTGTTCTTCGAGGTAGACATTGCATGTGGCTCGATTGTCTTGGTAGATCTCCTGGAGTTAGTTCCACAAATTTTGAGCGGATGCACCCGGTTTCATGTTTGATTCCCACCGATTATAAGAGATAGTGGCATAAATCCATTGTTTGACAATGGCGTCTAAGCGAAGCCAAGTGGATTCATCGACATATTTGGGGCGTGGAACATCGGGGTTTATGTGATTTGAACATTATATGTGCAAACATGAATATTGAAAAGTTCCATCAACAAGGCATAGTGACCGTCAGTTCATTCAAGGATAACAGAAATGGTGTTCCTGATGTTGTTGACACTGAATGCTGGGTTAAAAGGTGTTTTGGAGACTGAGGAAGAAGAATCATCAATTGCAGGTGTTCCCGTCATAGCGGAAGAAGATGATGAGAACAGAGGGTGTAAATGGCGGTAGAATAGGCGTTGTATGGGATAAGAAAAATAGGGTTTTTAGGTATACAACTCTGATACCATAATACAAAACGTATTTCCCTTGCTTTTCCATTAAATCCAATTGAGTATAAATACAATGAATTGGTATCCCTCTATTCTAGGAAGACATCACAACAAAATATAAAATACAATATAAAATGCAATATACATATATTTGTTAATACATATACCCAAGTGTCCCTTTCACTATTCTGCTAACATGATCCACTGCTTTCTCTTTCGACCCTGACTTTGACAAACCCAAATCTGCCACTTTCGTCACAATATTCTCATCGATCAAAATATTAGTTGATTTCACCTCGCGACTGATGGGTTTTATTCAAAACAAACAAAACTTAAACTCTTTAAGTGTGCATGCAGCCCTAATAAAAATCTATGTTTTCTCTATTAAATGTATAACTATGAACATCAAAAGGAAACCCCAAGAACTCTAGGCTATTTTCGAAAATTCCAAATTAGGGTTAAGGATTACATACATTGATTGTTATTGTACCAAATAACAATGAACACCTACTTGTTGATATCTTCGAATCAAGCACCACAATTGTCGTGCCTCTAATGGAATCACACCAAAGCTAGCAAGAGGATGAGTATAGAGAGAGGAGAAGGGATAGCCAAATTCGTATAAGGCTTCTTGAGGGAAAGAGTGCACAAAAATGTGAAGGGTTAGGTCCTTTATGTAGCTCGCACGGTTTGCACCTCTGTGTAGATAATGCAACCCTTTCGTTGCACCAATGCAAATTTCTAAATGTCGTTTCCATCGTAAATTAGGGTTGTTTCCCTTGTATAAATGATCATGTAATGTCCCATGAGACATGTAATCATACACAAGTACCACTTCACCCTCTTCATCGCAGTATCCGATTAAAGACACAAGTTGGACATACCGTAATTTTGAAAGCAATCCGATTTTCGTTTGGAATTTATGAAAACCTTGTTTGGATAACATGTTTAGTCATTTAATTGCAACAACTGGTGTATCATTGTCGATGTGCCCTATGTACACCATACCAAACCCTCCTCTCCTGATTACATGAGTTTCTTCAAATTCTCTGGTAAATTGTAAACCGATGACACCTATCAGACGGGAGGCCGGAATCTTTTGATTTTTGCTCATCGGATGACTTGTCGCCAGAGCGTTTCACTCGCCGGAAAATGATGAAACCTAAAATCAACAACATAAGTCCTAACGCTCTGCCAATGGTGCTAATTTTGGCTACGTATGGTGGAGTTATCTTTTCTCCGGAAAGCGATGGTTGTGGTGGAGATGGTGGTGTAGGGCGGAGCTTTGGGTTGGGGCCAGCAAGACTACCATTCTTCCTAAGCTTGAAAACTTCCAAACCATTCAAAAAAGCATCACTATATTGTGATCATGCATCAAGCTTAGGATCCATCGCAAGCCATAGGTCTTGTTTTCTTCTGCTACCATCAAAATCATACACAACTACGTAGCGGTGAGCAAAAACCGAACCGACTAAAAATAAATCGACAAAACCGTAACCAACAAACTGAAACTGATGAAAAAACCAATGGTGCGGATTTTATTTTTGCAAAACCGAATGTTTACGGGTCGGTGCGGTTTTTACCAAAAAACTGGTCCATCAAAACCGAACCGCACCGAAGATTTATAAAATAATAAATCACTAATTTATATTTATATTCTATAATATATACATATTTTTTAAATTACTAAGAAATATTAATACATATTATATTTGGACTTTGGACTTTGATAGTTGGTTTTAGAATAGGTCACTAATTAACTATGTAAGGTTATAACAAGTAAACCAAAATTCAATTATTTTTTTCTTAGTCAACCGTTGTATATAAAGTCACTTAGAACTTTTGATTTATATAATTTATTTTGAACTGAAAATAAACTTTTACAAATAAACGGTTTCAAAAAGTGAAAAAAAAATGCACCTTACAAGCTTGCATGCACATTGTTATCGTGTTTTTTTTTAAATACACCAAAAAACATCAAAACACCACATCAAATTTTAGAATCGTTTTAAAACCGAAATCGCATTTAGAAACCGCAAAACCGAACCATTGGAAAACCGCACCCAACGGTTTTAAGAATGCAAAAATCACACCTTGCAGTTTGTGGTTCGGTTTGCCATTGAAACCGCACCAAACCGCACCATGCTCACCCCTACAAATACGACATAATCCCTGAAAACAGGAAACCCGATACCTTCAGTCTAGTAAAATAGATCAACCAGGGCCGTTCCATTGGTTTTTCATGCCCAGGGCAAGATTAATTAAAAAATGCCCCTATATGTGTACAATATAATTCAAGAAACACATACTATATAATATTATTAAACATAGTGCAATACATTATTTATTTATTATTTTCTTATCAATAACAACTACAACTATGTTTTCTTGAAAACTTTAAACAATTTCATTGTTCTGGACAATGTGATTCACGATTTCTATTTTGCTAAATTGCTAACCATTAATTTCATCATATCCAGTCTCATTACTCATTAGAATTGGAACTTCCATGAGGTCTGATACATCAACATAACCTGTAATTGAACACAACAAAAAACATTGTTAATACAAAAAATCTATAAGATTAAGTGCTACCATAAGTAACATATCTCATATGCTAATTACACCATAAAAACTAGTCTAGCAATACTCAAATCTCCTAAATCAAGATCCATTATCTCTGTTCAATCCAATTTTCCTTTTCTAGTGTGTAAATAGTTGTTTATACTTCCTTTTTCCAAAATCATAGAAACCTTGAACAATTTGAAGCAACTACTCTTAAAATCAAGACAAAATACTAATATTGAAAGAACAATAATTCAAATGGTGAAATATTACTAAAAAAGGTGATGTATCGGCATCATGGGGTGACCAACTTTTTATGATGTTTTTAAAATGCATGTTACAAATTTGCCACACAGCCATATCACAATTTCCATCTACAATGATATGTAGCTTTCTCATCAAATGTTACGGAGTATACTTGAAAAAGAAATAGTTTTATCAAAAAGTTGAATGATGAACACAACTCAAAAAATAACTAAAAATTAAAATAGAAATTTTATTGAAGCTAGTCTAACACAAAATCAATAATCCAGGAAAAAAAATGCATTAACAACAATAGAGTACAAAAGCAACAATTAAGAATCAATATTTAACATCAGTATTTACAAATATGTAAATTTCCTCCAAACCTGAACTTTGAAATACCCCAATGCCTCAGTGGTCCTCATCCTTGAGTTATCAGAGATCCAAATAATTTAATCTCAAATTGAAAACCAAATATGGCGAATTTACAATTTCACGAAGCTAATCACTAAACAAAATCAGAAATCATGAAGCCATATCTGAATCAGAATTTACAAAGACTCAAAAATTCTATTATGTTGCTATGGGATACCCAACTCAATTCCAATTTCATCATGACTCTCAATTCCAACTCTAATCCCATCCTGTTAACAAATTCTAATTCAAATCCCAACCCACAACCAATTTCAATCGCAAACTGAATTTAATTAACCCTTGTCAAAATGTTCAAGAAAGCCGACTCCAATCCCAGCTCGAGTCTCATTCGAGCCCGGGCCTAAACATGAGCCCCGTCTAATGCGAAGAGACAAAGCGAAAAGAGAAGGTAAAAGTGTTGGGTCAAATTTCAACGATATACACAGTTTGAGGGAGGAGATAGTAGTGACAAATAAAAAATTTCTAAGATTACTCAAGGAACAAGAGGTCAACAACGTAAAATCCTGTGATATGAAACTTCTACATGGAAGACCTGTCTTGGTTTTGGTGGTGAAAGCTGACTCGCTACAAAAAGTAAAAACATGTTATAGCTTTGGCTGTGAAAACTGAAATAATAAAAAATATATAATTTGCAATTTTCGTCTTTCTTTTCTACAAATAAATTCCACTACTAGAAAACAACAAATAGAATACACTTAAATAGAATACGGTTGTATAGAAAACCTTATTATATAAACAATTAATACAGCTCATTTACTCATTAATAGCATTTTATTATCATTTACTCTATTAATAACAATTTATTATCAGGCGTTATGTATATGTGTACTGTTTTCAATATCAATTTTGTTCTTGCTTCAATTAGGTGGGAATTAACCCGCTATTTTCAATTGTTTGTTAGGATCGAGACACTTAACACACGACTCTAAACACACACAACTCACGAAAAACAAGAACACGAGGGATTTAAGGTGGTTCGGTCTATTTCTGACCTACGTCCACACGAGGGTAACTTGGAGTTTATATTTCTTGGTGCTAATCTGCACTCTTTCTTTGTTACACTAGATACAAGTGTTACAAATACAGAATAATCTCTTATATAGAGATGGAAATCAGAAGTAGTCAAAAAACACAACTGGGTCTTCATTCAACAATTGTGGCTTCACAACTTCACATTGTTCCTGCCATTTTTGACCAGCTTTTCTGTGGATTCACACTCAACATTTCTGTGGATTCATACTCAACAATCTCCCACTTGAAGCCACGGAACAATCTTCACCTGTGCTTCAACTGTGCATCTGTATTTGATCTTAACTCCTTCCTAGTTACCCTGGCCTTCTCTTCAATTATCCTGAAGGCCAGTTGAAGCTATGCAAAGCTTCAAATTTTCTAAGGTGACAACCTTAGTCAACATATCAGCTGGATTTTCAGTTCCTTTGATCTTATTCAACTTCAAAGTGCCATCATTAATTCTTTCTCTGATGAAGTGATATCTCAGCTGTATGTGCTTTGTCTTCGAATGGAAGACGGGATTCTTTGCAAGATGAATTGCACTTTGATTGTCACAAAATAATGCACAATCATCTTGTTCTTTGCCAAGTTCGTTGAGAAAATTCTTCAACCATATAAGCTCTTTGCTTGCTTCAGCAACTGCCATATACTCTGCTTCTGTGGTTGAAAGGGCAACACTTTTCTGTAGTTTGGACATCCAACTTACTGCAGTGTCGCCCACTGTAAAGACATACCCTGTGGTGCTTTTGTATGAATCTTTACAGCCACCAAGATCTGCATCTGCATAACCATTCAGAACTACGTCTTTTCCCTTAAAATTTAATGTCGTCTTTGAAGTCCCTTTCAAGTATCTCAACAACCATTTAACTGCTTCCCAATGTTCTCTTCCCGGATTGGACATGAATCTACTAACAACTCCCACTGCATGAGTTATATCTGGTCTCGTGCATACCATTGCATACATGAGGCTACCAACTGCGGATGCATAAGGAACTTTAGCCATTTCTTTCTTGTCTTCATCTTATCTGGGTGACTGAGCTTTAGAAAGCTTAAAGTGACTTCCCAAAGGTGTGCTTCTGATCTTGGCATCTTTAAGGCTGAATTTCTCTAATACTTTCTCAAGGTACTTTTCTTGAGATAGTGGTAAAGAACCATCTTTGTTTCTGAATATACTCATCCCGAGTATTTGCTTTGCAGCTCCCAAGTCTTTCATTTCGAACTCTTCAGACATCTGTTTCTTCAACTTCTTGATCTCTGACATGTCTGAACCAGCAATCAACATATCATATACATAGAGTAGTAGAATGATATAAGAACCCTTAAACTTCTTGATGTAACAACAATGATCATTGTCACATCTCTTGTAACCAACTTTTCTCATGAAGTTATCGAACTTCAAATACCATTGTCTGGGTGCTTGTTTCAGACCATACAAACTCTTCTTCAATTTACACACCAAGTTTCCTTTGCCTTTATCCTGAAAACCCTCTGGTTGTGTCATGTAAATGTCTTCATCTAGGTCACCGTGTAGAAAAGCTGTCTTGACATCTAGTTGCTCTAGATGCAAACTTTCTGCTGCTACAATACTGAGAACAAGTCTGATAGTGGTCATCTTCACTACTGGAGAGAATATTTCATTGAAATCAATTCCTTCTTTCTGTTGAAAGCCATTGACTACTAATCTTGCTTTGTACCGTTTGGTACCATCATGTTCATCCTTGACCCTGAAAACCCATTTATTCTGAAGAGCCTTTTTCCCAACTGGAAGCTTTGTTAAGTGCCATGTGTTGTTCTTCTCAAGCGACTTCATTTCATCTTTCATTGCTAGCTCCCACTGCAATGAATCTTTCAACCCTATAGCTTCAGAGTAACACTGGGGTTCACCGTTTTCTGTCAAAAGAATGTAGTTGACAGATGGTGAGTATTTGTTTGGTGGTCTTGTGACTCTGGAAGATCTTCTTAGTTGAACTTGAGGTGTGACTGGGGACTCTGGAGTTGGAGGACTGGTTTCTTCATCTTCAGAATCATTACTGGAATTATCCCCTGAGCTCCCACTGTCAGTTGAATCATCCCCAGATTCAGGGATTTCGACTGGAGCTTCTTTCTTCTTTTCAACACCTTCAAACTCAACATACTCCTTCTGATCTTCTGGACTTTTGTTGTTTCTGTCTTTGTATAACTCGGCTTCGTTAAAGGTGACATTCTTGCTTCGGATTATCTTTCTGCTCTCACTATCCCAAAGCCTGTAACCCATTTCATCCGACCCATAACCAATGAATGTACACTTCTTGGTCTTTGAATCAAGTTTATCCCTGTCACCATCTTTTAACAAACTGTAAGCAGTACAACCAAAGACTTTCAGGTGTTTGAGACTTACTTCCTTCCCTTGCCACATTTCTTCTGGTAATTTAAAATCCAAGGGAACACACGGTGAACGGTTGATCAAGTAGGCTGCAGTATTAACTGCATCAGCCCAAAATGTCTTAGGTAAACCAGAATTCAACCTCATGCTTCTAGCCCTTTCATTCAGAGTTCTATTCATTCTTTCAGCTACACCATTCTGCTTAGGGGTTCCTGGGACCGTCTTGATCATCTTTATCCCTTGCTTGGCACAATAGTCAACAAACTCCTTGCTTATGTATTCACCACCATTATCCGACTTCAGGCATTTTACCTTCAAATCAGTTTCATTTTCAACAGCAGATTTCCATATCTTAAAAGTATCAAATACATCAGATTTATTTTTAAGAAAATAGACCCATACCTTGCGTGTTGAATCATCGATAAAGGTTACATAGTAGTTTTTGCCTCCTAGAGATGAAACTGGTGTTGGTCCAAATACATCCGAGTGAACAAGCTCCAACTTCTAAGCTTTCGGTGTCTTCCCCGTTTTTACAAAAGTAACCCGCTTTTGTTTCCCGAGAACACAAGATTCACAAAATTCAGTTTCGACTTTCTTCAAGTCTGGAAACTTTCCTTTCTGAGCCAACATCTTCAATCCCTTATCGCTCATGTGTCCGAGTCGTTGGTGCCATAAATTAGATGGACTCGGATTGGTGGTTACTGCATGAACACCATCACCAGGTATCTCTACCATGTATAGAGTGCCTTTCTTCTTTCCTTTGGCAATCACCAAGTTGCCTTTGATCACTTTCCATTGTCCACCCCCAAAGTGAACATTAAACCCTTCATCATCCAATTTTCCAACTGAAATCAACTTTCTCATTAAGTTTGGGATAACCCTGACATCTTTCAATGTCCAGTTGGTTCCCATGGAGGTCTTCAAATCTACGTCCCCAATACCCGTAACATCAAGCACTTGATCATCGGCCAAACGAACTTTGCCAAGATCACCTGTTTGTAGGTTCTTGACCATATCTGGGCATGAGACGGCATGGAAAGAAGCACCCGAATCCATAATCCAGGATTCCACTGAATTCTCAACACAGCATATGAGAAAATCTCCCGATTCTTCAGAGGATACATTGTTTACTTCTTTCTTTTCAGCTGGTAGTTTTGGGCATTGGCTTCTAAAGTGACCCTTTTCTTTGCAATTCCAACATTCAATATCTTTTCGGTTCTTGGACTGCCCCCTTTTTTTGGACTTTGATCTGCCTCGACTACGTCCTCTTTCGTTTCTTCTTCCTCTACTTTCTGTATGCAATAAAGAACTAGAACTAGAACTAGAAGTCTCACCATTGCTTCTCCGTCTGATATCTTCATTTACAATCAAGTCACGAATACTCTCGAAAGTGAGTTTAATAGTGCCGGATGCACTACTAACAGCTGTGACGGTGCCTGACCAACTATCGGGCAAAGATGATAAAAGGAGGAGCGCTTGTACTTCATCTTCAAACTTTATTGCAACTGAGGCTAAACGAGAGATAATCGAGTTAAACTCGTTTATGTGAGCGGTAACTGACATGCCTTCCTTCATTTTGGTGTTAACCAATTGTTTGATGAGGAACACTTTGTTGGAAGTGGACGGCTTCTCGTACATGTTGGACAAAGCCTTAAATACTCCATAAGTAGTTGTTTCATTAACAATGTTATACGCAACACTCTTTGCCAATGAAAGCCTAACTACACCCAAGGCTTGTCGATCCAACAACTTCCATTCTTCATCATACATGTCATCCGGTTGTTCGCCCAACATAGGCAAATGCAAACTTTTCTGATATAACATATCTTCAATTTGCATCTTCCAAAATCCATAATCGGTTCCATCAAACTTGTCAATTTTGATTTTACCATCTTCTGCCATTTTTGCAATTTTCTGAAAGAACAGGGACCTGTCTTGCAATTTTCTGAAACTTC